GAGCGCGGCATGTACATCTGCAGTGGCAGGAGTGGAGAATAAAAGCTGCTAATGGATGTAATAATCACATATGAAGGTGATTTTGCAATGGACCATAAAGTAATGATTTTTCATAGTCTTATTATGTGGCCAGAGTTTCAGAGGTGCTGAGGGTACCCAAATTTCACAGACTCAACACAGCTGCAGCAAATTGAGCCCATCAGCTCCTTCATCTTCACTGAAAGGCAGCTCCTGCTTTTAATCACTAAAGTCCTCTGTAAGACTAACATACTCACATGTTTAACAAAATACCTCTTATTAAACCAGCCAATACAGACCATTTAGAGTGCCAACTGCCTCCTCCTACAAACCTTGCTTCACTCACAGAAATTACTGCTCTCAGGAAGTCTTTAGCCTACCCAGAACATCTGAATGCCAATTTCTCTTCAGAAAATGGATGGAAAGCAGGTGCCCCAAAGGCCTTTCCACCAGACGTACTGATGACTCTGAAAGGAGATTGAAGCAGTTGCAGGTGTCTCAGTGGCAACTTGGACCATGCCAGTCCCATCCTGGAGACAGTTCTTCCCCACTCACCCTTATCACTTCAGGGTAAAGATTACACCTGATTTGAAGCATCTCCTGACTAAATAAAACAAACCATACGCTGATCGCCTCGTGCAATGTGCAAGCACACAATAGTAATCACAGCTAATGACTCTGCTAAATGCTAGACTGCACACACCTCCTTGTTTGGTGTTTGTTTTGTATACAGAAGGTAACATCGACTGAATAACGAGGATGCCAAGTTACAGATGGGGTTGTGGAATCGTATTTGACAGCCGATTAGAGTAATCTGACAGAAATGATGACTTAATCACCACGACAGACTCCAAATTCCCAGATAGAATTCCACCCAGGTTAATCTAATTTCCTTGCAGTATTTTTGCCAGAAATAGACTCTTAGCCGGCTTGTTTTCTCCCATGCAGATGTCACATGGCTTTGACAAGAATGTAAATAGGAAGCATTATTGTGGTTGAAAAGATGAGTTTGGTGCTCTAAAACTGGAGAGGGTATGTGCCTTGAGAAGTTTTGGGTTGTTCTGCTGTGGTTTTTTTGTCTGATGTAGTTACATACAGTGGGAAGTACTCAGGAGAAGGTGAGGGGAAAAAAAGATGTAACTATTCAATTGTAATTCTAGGCCATCGCATGGTCCTGCTGCTGCCCTGAACATTGCCAGCAGCTAGATTCTCACTGATTTTAGGGGGATTTTCAGGATTTAATGTTTGACAACTGTTTCTTTGCCTTTTTTGTTCCTGTGGACCATCAGCACCCCTGCTTGGGTTGTGCCCAAGGAGATGTGGTGGTGTGCTTGGCCTCCAGCTTCGGGTGGGCTCTGTTAGAGCAGTGAAGCCCCCATCTTGCTGCCAGCACTGCCACAAGGCACCAGCGACCTTGGGCAACAGGCATTTGCCTGCTCTCAGTTGTAAAACAGTGGCATGGTGTGTTTTGAGACCTATGGACAGGGAGTTCCTGTAGGAAAGGTGGGTTGTGCTGTACTTGCTGCACAGCTGTGAGCTCTCCATAATATTGACAAGGAGAGGTTGTTCCTTACAGCCCGTACTCCAGCCTGGGTGTGATATCCCCATGCACAGTGCTTGCCAGGGGAAGCTGCCCACACTCAGAAAGAACTTACCTGAGAGCTGTGTTGCTTTCTTTTACTGTATGGTCTGAGCACAGGGTAGTGTTGAAGTCTATCAATTATTTGCTGTCATTACTTTTGTTACTCTTGCCTATTTATTAATTGCAACTGTGCATTCATAAATACCGTGTTTCCTTAAACAAAGATTTTTTCAAGCAAAGAAGAAAATGCTTCCTGTTGTTCTGTGTGGCAGCGTGACATACTGAGAAATCACTTACCTTGAGATTCATAAGTGATGTATAGCTACAATAACAGCTTTCTGATAAGACATGAAATCCTTCATTTCAGTAGATGACATGATTCTAGTGAGTGGCATCTAATTTGAAAAAGGTTTATATCATCTATAATCTTTTGGAGGGCCTGGGAAAGTGCAGCTATTTTATTATTTTTATAGCCTGCAGTTATACAAGGAAGATATAAAACTCACAGATTATTTTCTCTTTTGCTCATTGTACAGTGAAAGGATGGTAACTATTTAGCTTTTGTCTCTGCCCCTTTAATTTTCTTATTCACTGCACACTTCTTTGAGAGTCATTCTTTTCTTTTCCTTTCTTTTTTACACCTACCTTTAAATATTTTATGGGTAGAGAGCTTATAATATGTATTGTCACGGCAGTTGTCTCTAGAGGTCAGCAATGAGTTTAATAATGAGATGCGAACCAGTGACTCTGTAAAACCCATTTCAGGTTATAAATGGCATGTTTTATTGAATCTAGTGTTAAAGGTTGTTAACGTATCAATTGGTGATGGTCAGGGTTAAACAAGCTTCAACATGAGCCCTCTCATGTTAGGAAACTGTCAGGAAGGTATTTTTCCACCTTCCTCTTCACTGAAGCCAGGTTTGTGTATCGCATCCATTTTTTCCGGGGGTGTTCTGCAGTTTAAACTCTCCGGGCCTGATCTGGATCTTGTGCTGATTTTACACCAATATGATTTTAAGCACAACAGCGTCACTCCCGAATTCAGCTTGTTGGTGTGAAGGGAGTTTGAGCCATGAGTTTTCAGCAGGAGCCTTTGAAATCAAGTCAAAACCCAGCTGAAGCATCCTGTTAAATCTTGCTTCTTGCTTCCTGAATGTACCAGACTACTGACATAATGAACTTGGGGGTAATTATGTGTGACAGAAGAGGATGATTTTGGGTGCAATAAGTGTGTTTGTTGGGTGACACTGATCTTTATGTTGTGACCATGGGCTGCAAAAATAACTTCTTCACATGAATTCAGTCTAAAGTTGGCTTCTCTAGTTCAGGTAGTTTGAGAGGTTCAGAAGTGAGAAGTTTTTAACATTGTTAGAATTGCCTTTATTCAAAATATCTCCTCTTTGGAGCATATAAATGCAGCTATAAAGAACATCTACAAAAGGCCTAAATTTGCGTTGGGTTTTTCTTTTATAATCTGTGTATTCCTGAATTTACAATACTTACCTTTCTTTCCTCTATTTTTTTACCACTCCATTGCTCCTCAGAGACATCCATAACCTCAATGGGCTCATGGAGCAAGTTACACCTTTTTTCTTCTTTCTCTTTTTGATTGCTGCGTGGACACGCTGCATGACATTCCCATGAATTTTAAGTCTCCTGCAGTGCCCAGTGTATTGTTGATTTCAGGATAAATATTAAGCACTAAAGACAGAGTACGATAGAAGTTCCCTTTTTCCTATAAATTTGATCGAGTAAGAGTGGCAGAAAAGTGCTGGGCTATTAAGGTCCATTTAGGAAATGAATGATTCAAAGAGAGCAGAATTGTTAGAATTGAAGCAAATTTATGCATCCTGGCGACTACATCTACCTTGTGGCTTTGCCTTTTCCTTAGGGCACAGTGGGGAGTTTGCAAGCAGCACAGGAAACGCATTGATTTGCAGGGCCAGGGAGCATTCTGGACTTTGAGTAAATCTCACAGAAACATTCACAGCTATATTTTATGTTTTCTAAAGAATCCAGCATCTTTTTCCCTGGAGGCTAAGTGACTCCACCAAAGGCAGTACAGATTTGGGTTTCTGTGCTGTTTTGAAAGCACATTTGATACGAGGGCACGGATGTTCTCTCCTGCTCAGCTGTTTTTGTTTCCCAAAGTTTGTCATAATGGTCTTTTATTAAAAAAATGGAATTGCCTCTGACATTTTCAGGCAATACTCAGCTCTGCTGCACTGAAAAATGATACAAAAGCAGATAGAGCATACATTTATTTATCTGCTCACGTGAATTGGTAAGGATTTGCTGAGGAGAGAAAAGGCAGTGGCCCTGCTGCTGCCGGGAGGTTTGTGCAGTCAAATCCCAGCAACTATGCAGAGGCTGTGAAAGAAAATAAAAGTGGGGTTTTTTGCAAGCTTAAAAATTTCCCACATTGAATCTCAATGTGAGGTCAGTTCTGAAGGCTTTTGAGAACCTGTAACAAAATTTCCCTGAGTACACCACAGTGGCCTCATGTCTGGCTATAACCAATGTCCATGGAAAAGCCACATGCTCTAAACAGAGGGAGCTTGAATGTTGCTATTCCTGAAAGAACAAAAGCACCATTTGTAAAAATTTTGTTGGAGTTATCAACAATTCAGTGTGGGAGCAGGATCACTTAGTAGAGAAAGCTGAGGACACACCATTAAGATGCCATGAGATGTTCAGCATGGAATGCTGCTCACGGGGGTAGGTCTCTTTTGCAGTAAGAGGGACATGAATGGAGGAAGAGGTTGAAAAGAAAAAAGGATGAGGAGTTTTTATGGAACCCAGAATTGTTCCATGTTGTGGTGGAAGCTTTATAAATGAATGTATAATGTATCCTAAAACAAAAGGATAAAATACTGAACATTTATAGGAAGCTGTTGCAAGAAGCAAGATTCTCTTCAGTCCTAGAAGAATCAGCACGTTGTTTTTAATTACAAGCGAAGTTCATTTGTCAAACTCAACTCCTCTGAGTATGTTCAAAATGCTTGCTAGTTCTTAAATTACTTGAAAATTCCATCTTGATTTTGGCAGTGATTGAGCTCAAGGAAAAAAAAAAAGTTGGTAAAACAGAAACCAAGCATGCCATAAACTAATGAGGGCTGTAACTTTAGAGGTCTTCTGAAACTAGATACAGCAAATTAGAGATTTATAGGAGTCCTGTGGGCCCAGTGATCTGTTTTTTTTAATCTTCCTGGTTATAAAATGCTCCTTTACCATTTTATTTTTTCTTGAAAGCCTATAATACAGTGTCATTTTGAAATTTATATAATTTCAATATGTTTAATATTAAATCATGTATCTTTTTAGCCCTTCATTAAAAACATGATTCTTGATTTTTTGTGACTATCCAACCTGCCTTACTCTCTTTCATTTTTGTTTTTAGATGCATCATCCTATTCAGATGAAACCCGCAGATAGTGAAAAGTCAAATGGTATGTGTTTAATTTATTTTTACTTAATTATGACTCTCTCTAAACTAAAGTAAGCACAACACTGTGAGAGGTTTTGCTTTAATCCTTGTGTGGTGAAAATTATATGAGGTAGTTTCCCTACACCTGACATGTTGGGGAAGGTATTGAGCTGCTCTGAACTCCTTTTTATCTTCTGCTTTGAGGAAGGAAGGAAATGTTCTTAAAAAGGGTCCTCCTTGTACCTCCTGTATGTCACGACTCACCTCACTGCATACATCTCTTCTTTGGCTTCTCCTAACAGCAAGGTGATGTGGGAGCACCTGATATTGATAAGGTGGAAATGAAATTTTAATGGTGAAATTTAAAAATAAAGGAAACAAAAAACCATTCCTGTGTTAACAAACTATATAAGCAGATGATCAGCCTTAAGCATTTGCCTAAACTACCTTTTTATAGAGTGATGCTGTTCTGAATCTGAGCCAAATTTAGGTTTTAATCATATGCTTCATTATGAACTGGGAAACCCACTTTGCAGCTCTCTGTATACTTATTCCTCTCAACGATTGAAAAATGAATGCTATAAAGACAGTAATATCCATTTGGAATACCAGGGTACTGCCTAAGTGGATGTATATGACATGCAAAACAGACAGCATTCTAAATCTATTAAACATGCCAGGTTTATATATTCAAGGAAATAAGATAATCGAATGGTAACGCAACCTGGCTGGGTGTGAGTCTTTAAAAATATATACATGTGTATATTTTGCCCCTTGATTTGTTCCTGTAATTTTCTAAAATATATGTTAAAGATATCATCTGCCTTCTTAGATTGCAAGAGCTTCATTTTCCCATAAGGCCCACATAATCAGAGCTGGTTCCTCCAACAGGCATCTTTGCACCTCATTAATTAGTAATCAGGGCAGAAGCCGTGCACTTAGAGATCTGCATACCTGCAAATGTAAATTATGATTGGGCTCTAAATCTCTCCGCAAGGCTTTTTTTAAAGGCTTCTTTTTTTGCTAATTGTAGTGCAACCCTTTTTCGGGCTCCTCCAAGGATTAGGAAGTTTGGAAGGAAATTAAAACTTCACATTATGCTAGGTTTCCCATTATAACAACTTTCCAAACAAAAGTGGCCACGAGCACAGGAAATACGAGCAGTCACCCATTTGTAAGGGAGGGGTGTTCTCTCTCAGGTTGGAATTAGAGAATCACTGAATATCCTGAGTTGGAAAGGACCCACAAGGATCATCAAAATCTGGCCCTGCACAGGACAATCCCAAAAATTACACCATGTGCCTGAGAGTGTTGTTCCAATGCTCACTGAGCTTTGATGGGCTTGGTAGCACGACCACTTCCCTGGGGAGCCTGATCCAATGCACACCCCCACCCTTTGGATGAAGAACCTTTCCCAAATAGATTTTAGCAGTGATTTCTTGCTGTCTTTGAATGCTTAGAATAGAGGCCAAGGCACCAGCATGGGCAGAAGGACTGAACTGTTCAGGCACCATTGCAGTCAAGGAGAACATGTCTGTTTGAATCCAAATTCCACTCCATGGTATTTAGTGCTAGAAGTGGGCACAATTATCCCCCTTAGGCACAGGAACACTGGCGTGAACCCTCTGAACTAAGTGTGGCCTCTATGGGTTCTTCTTTCAAAGACAAATTTCACCTCAATTTCCTGGGTATATTGGAAAAATAAGAGGCAATGGTCCAAAATTGACTCCCAGTGAGTTGCTTGTTCATTGCCTGAAGTGTTTCTTTCTAAAGGAGATTGAACATATTGGCAAAACACTATGGGGAATTGTGCAAATTCTGTCTTACTCTGCAAGTAGCACCTGCTTGAAAAGCAGGATACATTGGCTCCTGGCTGCTGCTGTTAGTCCAGGGTTATCTGCATGAAACTTCTGTCTGCACTGTGGGAATACTCTCTTATTTTCTGGCACCTACTCCAAGCATGGAAATCATAAGGGATTGTCTTTTTTCGCTTCTTTTTTCTTACCTTTTTTGTATTTGGGGGAAAACAAATTGTCAGATCAGAGATTCCAATTGTCACATTGAAAACCTTTTTAAATTTAGACTCCTAGAGGGTGTAGGAACTTCTGATAGGCATGTCCTAGGGGTGGTGAACTAATTTTTTTAATTGACCAGAGAAACAGAAGGCAAGCTAATACTGCAGTGATGCAGTATTTCTGCTCCTCAGAAAGACAGGGCGTAGGCGTGGGGTCCGTGGAGTAGGTGACAGTTTGCAAGCAGCTTGTAGATCCAGGAAGAGAAAGAACAGCAGCATGGGGGATGTAGAGGCTTGTTTGGCACATGTTTTCCTTATGCCTCAGGCTATCCATCTGAGGAGGTATATTATCCATGCCAACAGCAAATTGTAAACTGTACCTCTTCAACCAGATTGGTAAGTTCAGAGGGGAAAAGAAAGAAGGCATGCCAAGGCATCTTGGTTTTCATGATCCGTGGTGTTTGAGCTTTTGAGGAATACTTGAAACCCTTTAATTTCTGAGTCATGGGAGGATCCTAGTACATTTTGTAGGTAAAGCGGTGTTATTCCGTTTTCAAAGAGCTTAATAAAATTCTTTTGGTCAAAATTTCCAGATATCTTGTAAACAGATATGCAGGAGAAGTTAGACACTCACTACAGTTATTCTGAGCTTGCACATGTTTGTGAAGGATTGATAGACCTGTTCAGGAACCACGGGGAGGAGGAATAGGTCCTCCTGTTCAACTTACAGAGGTTTCCAAATAACAGTATTTCCTGTGTGATATGTGCCCTCCCTCTGTTGAGTCCCTTGCTAAAAAGGTTTGAATGAGCATCCAAGCCAGAGAACACCAGGATGAAATGCTCCTCCGTCTCCATCACTGTTCCTGTCCTTAGGTGTGTGCATCACTGTCCCTTAGCACCAAAGACAGAGCTCACCTCATGGAACCTGGGAGATGGGTATGGAAGGGACACCTCCTGCCCACATGTTACTAACCTAGACGAGGTTGCTCAGAGCCCCATCCAACCTGGCCTTGAACACTTCCAGGGATGGGGCATCCCCATCTTCTCTGGGATACCTGTCCCAGTGATTCCTTCCCTCTGCATACAATGTGTTTGAGTCATTTCTCTGCTCGTACAGATGAAGCAAAGCTTAATTTCTTCTGTCAAGCTTTTAGCATTTAGAGCTGATGGGACAAGACTTGCCTTTAGATCTAATTAATTTGTCTACCCAGGAGTATTCTGAAAGGCTTCTTATTGTTGAGAAATGTAACATCTCTGAAAGATTTTCAGATGATGAATTTTGTAGTGTGTCCTGGTCTGATCACCCAGTAGGTCTAGTCTAACCACCTTTGTGCTAGGTGGTTGTTTTAACCTATCTACAAAGTTTTGTTTAAGGGTTATCTTCCAGAAAAGCATGGGTTTGACTTTGAAGTCTCCACCATTACTAGGTTAATGTTGACTGTTAATCACTCACAGTATTTATCCTTTTAAGGACATTTTCCCTTTTTTCAAACAAAGGGGGTTCCTGCACTCTAATGCCAAAAAACACATGAACACGTGCTTGACTCTGAGTTGTCTGTGGCCATTAACATGCTACAGCTTGGCAAATACTTAAATGTGTCTTGGATCTGGATTTGAACACAGTCCATGCTTTCAGGCACATATCTCACAGACAGTATGCTCTGAAGTGGATCAGAGTATCACTGCTCCAGGGAAAATGACAAAATTCTCTATTTAAGAAAATTTAAAAAGGAGGGAGGAGGATAGCTGAGAAATCTTATAATTTATTTTTATTTATTTTATTAGTGAAAAGTTAAAAAATAATTTTGAAATTCTAAGTGGCACAACTTCGCCGATTTTGATGGGAGTAATTAAATGCCATATGTTAGCACTAACACATAGAAAAGTTGATAATTAATGCAGGCAGCTCCAGATCCAGGTGTGATTTTGACAGATTGTATGCAAGGGGTTTTCACAGGCTTACAGATAGGGATAAAAAGTCTGGTTTCCCCTTTCCCTTCTGCCTGGGGGAAAAAAAAAAAAAAGAAAAAAAAAAAGAAAAAAACCACAAAACAAAAACCCCACAAAACCCATCATTTATACATAATTAACTGATTATTGATTTGCTCAAAAGAGAAAACAACTTCTGGGAGGGGAGGAAATGGACTCTATCTGACTGGACTACTCAGAAATGTATAATAAGGGGTTATAATTTTGATTTTTCAGAATTTTGGGGGTTTAGAAGAGAGAAATGTTTGTTGAATCTTCAGGGAGATTTCCCATGATTATTACAGGGTTTAATTCTTTTGTAGCATTCAGAAAATAACCTCTATTCCTCTGTTCTCCTGGGTTAGCACAAGCGATCTAATACAGCCTGCAAGAAATGCTCATTACCAAAGCAAATTGAGTAAAGCTAAAAAATTAGACCCTTCAGGATGTTATTCTGCACGTTGGATGCAGTGCTGTCAGGAGACAGGAGGCTCGGTTTGAAACAATCCACCCCCAGCAGAGAGAGACTTCATCTGATATAACCTTGGCTGGCTGATGCAGTGTTCTGGGTTCAAACACAGTGCCCAGGCACCTGTGCTAGTGATGGCAGAGCTAGTCTTGATGGAATTACGAGAGCATCTCATCTCATTTTAAAGCAGGTATCTGCCCCTCGTCACAGAGGGTTCCTGCATTCTGGGAAAACCCTCCCCAAATCCAGCAGGATTAGCACTGGATCTGTCACTCCCACTGCCCTGGCAGCACAGCTAACCTGTGTTTGTAATTTGTTGGGATGGATTAAAGGTGAACCCCATAATGTGTTAATCAAGATGCTGTGTAGTTTCACACCTTCCCTCCTGTAACTAGAACTTCAGGTCTTGTTTATTGTGACCTTCTGGCTACTTCTGCTCCATCAAGGAGGGTTACTCAGCCCCCCCATCCTACCAGCTGCTTCCTGATGGTTGTATCTACTTCCTTCTCACACAGTGGTGCAAAATAGTCAGAAAGTTCAACTAAGTCTATGAGCAAGGTTCATAAATAATGATGTCAAACACTCACCAAAAAAACACTTGATTTTTATGGATTTTGAATTATGGAAACCTACTCCAAATGTGGGAGAGAGAGTTAACAACCAGCAGTGAAATGCTTAAGAGATATGTGCACACAGGTGCTGACCCTTGTGCACTGTTATCCTTCCCCCACAGCCTTCCTCTTGGCCTGCTCTCATTGCCCAAAGCACTTACAGCTCCCAATCTTTGTCCAGTCCCTCGAAGCTCCCAGTCTTTGTCCAGTCCCTCAAAGCTCATTTGTTCCTCCTGTCCCTGCAGCTGGAGCTCAGGACATCTAGGTGTTATCATGATGACCAAGATTTGGGAGTTGGCTGGAAGGCAACAGCCCTATCTACTGCCAGTAGCAGGGGAGAGAGTCCCATGGCACAGCCCATCCCATATTGCTGGGAAAGGTGAGATCAGTCACTCTTTGGAGGAGCTGATGTCTTGGCTGTAGGTGACTAAAGTTAGGTGAGATGGGTTTAGAGTGCCATCCTTTCCCCAACCAGCAGCAGGTAGCACCTGTCCTGACCTCAACACTTTTCCTGGGTTACATGTGTTTAATGTTGGGCTCCTCATTTTACAGTCCATGGGAGCAATCCAACATGCACAGGAAAATGCTCAGGCTTAGCTGATCCAAAGTTTGCTAACCTCTAACCCCTCTTGACCCCACACTTCTTACAGCCCATTGCCTGTTTGATTCTCAAACCTTACCTGCCTGACAGGTAAGAATTCATTTCAGAAAGAAAGGAGAGAAGTGGCTGACCTAAAATGCAGAAACAGATCTTGGCAGTCAGTCTTATCGAGGTGGAAAAGCGTTCCTTTCTCTGTGTGAGAATATATGGTTAAAAACTCTCTCAGCCTAATAATATCAGATGTTCTATCAGATGGAGTGAAAACATGTCATTTTGATCTTGACAATTGTCACTTTAAATGTTTTTTATGCTGGGCCCCTAGCCAAAAAAAGAATAGCAATTTTCTTAAGCTTCAACACTGATCAGCACTGACTAATGGCACTGAATGCAGAGCACGTCATCATATCAATATGTTTTCTGTACTCTGAGCATTCTCATGAAATCTGCATTTTTAAGATGTACAGTACACAGGAGCTGGATGTTTAATTTACTATAAAATCACCCTCAAGCAGCAAACCTGCAAATCATGCTAGTTAAATGGCATATTTATAGGTTTACCAGCGAAACCGAAGGAGGCCGGTGGGGAGTTTGTCGCTTGCTACTCTTTGGAAAATTAAAACAAAGCCTTCTGTTTGCATCTCATTTCTTTTGAATCTCCATGTGAACCTCTTTGGTTTGAGTCTTTGTCCTGACACCAAAGCAGGACCCAAGGGACCTCCTTTGGGATGCTGAGGTAGGCATTTGTTCAGCTTAGCCAGCAGCTGTTTTTAAAAGAGGGTTGGAACCTAGTCACCCTTAGGGTAGACCTGCACACTGTATTTCAAGCCTAAAATCAACCCAAGTTTAAACTAGTTGGTGCTAGCTGACACACAGAAATGAAGAGGTTCATAGCACAGAACAGAAGGCAATGCTGGACCTGTGCTTGGCACCAAGGCTTCCCCCAGCCTGACCTGGGTCTGTGGTGTGGAGAAACCCAGTCGGGGCAGCCCAGCTGGGTCTTGTGTCTCAAAACCTCTCCTGCACCCTGCCCAGAGTCTTTGGCTGTTGCTGAGGGGACAGGCTGGCATGGGAACTTCCTCAGAAAGGATTGCTCAATGCAGTATAGGAATTGTAAAAAGCCAAGTTACAGGCATCTTTTCACCAGCAGAAGTGGCTGCCTAGACTCCTCTTGTAGCTGTGAGCAAGGCAATTCAGTTTTCCCATCCTTAAAATAATTATTAGCAGCATCAAGGTCAGTTATGTATTATGAATCAGATGTAAAGTTTCATAATAAGACATAAATATATACATATAAAAATATCCCAACTTGTAGGTCTTATTTGCAATCACGCATATTCAGCTCCTGATCTGTATATAACTGGCTCATCCTGTGCATTCATCATTTTTTTTAACCCTTTCTGGAGGGTTCACCTGCATGTGGAACCTCAATATAAAGTGTGAATGAAAATGTTCAGTCTTGAGGAATCTCTGCTGAGGAAAACGTCTTCCCCTGGGTGTTAAATTCTTAAATTCACACCAATTTTCTTGCAAGCTTTTAGAGTGAGAAGCTGGGGTTGCAGGGGCTGGTGTCTGTTTTGGATTCTGAAAAATGCATGGTTTTGGTGCTTGCTTGCATAAAAGCTACAAATACTTTTTAAAGTCAGCGATTTAAGGAGAAAATTACTTCAAACACTTCTCATGATCAATAAACATGAACCTCTTCTTGTTATTCTTGAAATTATTAAATGCACTGAAAGTGTTGAAGTATAACACAAATAAGATCCTAGAAAAAATGGACGCAGTTCCTTCTTCCCCAACTGCAATTTATTCCATTTGACAGACTCGTACTAATACAGGAGATAGAGTTGGAGAGCAAGGGAGGATTCATTATTTCTTTTTTGTAAGCCCAGAAATGAAAATACTTCGTTACAAAAATAATTTGCACAATAATAGAAATAAGTAAGTGCAGTGCAGACTCTCTGGAGTAAAGCTTTCCTCCTCTCTTTGCTTCCCCACAAACCCTGACAGTCTGCTCATTAACAGGGAATTGGATTTACATGCCATTTCCAGAGAAGAAGAAAGCACTGGTGTATGCACTGTATAATAAGCACTTTAGATTTTTGGTTTAATATAGATGGGTGGGTGCGTTAACATTTTTAAGTCTTTCCAGAGTGAATTAAGTTTTGATGGCCTCTTTCATTTTTGACAAGAGTCCCCAGCTTTAGACCTGTAAATTTGAATTTGATTAACAGGACTGTGTGTGTCCTGCTGCAGCAGTCCAGCTTGTCCTGGTTTTGGTGACAGTGCAGGCAGGAAATAATCTGCCAATACTTCAGGTAAAGCAGCTTTTTCATGGGTATTTTTGCAAACTCAGCATCGTTATGAGTCTGAGGGTCTTCAGGTGATGTCCTGGAATATATGCCTTGTGTCTTCCTGAAGGGGAGAGGGCTGTGGCAGTCTGGAAAAAAAACCAGCGGAAAAATTTAACGCGTTCTTTTTCCAAAGTAGTCACTGCACATCTGCCTTTCCAGTGCTGTGCATTAAGTTGGCAGAAATTGAAAGCTTAGATAGGAGCTGCCCTCTCAAAACATTTTTCGGGAATATTTTTCATTAGCTGGTATCATTACACGCAAAATCCCTTCTTCACCCTCACCCCGTCATGATTTCTTTCACGCATGAGGGGGGTGAGGGAATTTATCTGAATTAGAATCTATGCAAAGATATCTTTAAAAGTGTCTCTAACAGAGGGTGCTTTTCTTTTAGAAGCCGTTATGGGGAGGCGTATGCAGAGTGACTAAGACAGCCAATTAATATGTTATATAAACAGCAAGCACCACTAGAAAAAGGAGAGAGAGAAAGAAAACCGAGATGTTTGGGGTGGGAAGGGGGGAAGGGAGGTTGTAAGTATAAAGTGTTTGCCTTAGGACTTGTCTTCAGTTACAGAGCCAGACTCACATGACTGGAGCTTGGTTTGATGTGGTAATGAAGCATTGATCACAGGAAAAAGATGAAATGGCCTTTGCTCATTCATTATTTTTATCTTCTAGCTGTGGAAGACAGAAAATTGTTCATAGGAATGGTTTCGAAGAAGTGTAATGAGAATGATATCAGGGTGATGTTTTCTCCGTTCGGCCAGATAGAAGAATGCCGAATCCTTCGGGGACCGGATGGGCTGAGCAGAGGTGAGTGTGCAGCCTGTAAAGTCTCTTTCCTTAAGTGCTAATTGGGAGCTATATGTCACAGCCAAGGTAGGCAGAGCCGCTGTCTGCAGCGAGAGGTTATGCTGTAATACATCCCACGTGATGAAGTTATCCACATGAACTTTTCACAGTGACTGAAATTATCACCTTTTATTTCCAGTGTCAGAAAGGTCTCGGTGCCAACGTATTAACTTGTGTTATCACCCTGTTTGTCAGCTGGAAAGGTTCCTTTGCACCCTGAGAAAACACCCTCAGTTTTCTGCTCTCACAAAATCAAAGTTGCTTCCCTGACCCCATTTCTGCTTTGTAGCACAAGGCCAAAATAAAAAGAAAAAAAAAGACAGGACTGTAAATGACCACTTAAAGGCATAAAGGGTCACGGGAACTGGCCCATGTTGTAGCACAATCTATCTCCTCCATTCCTGTGTTTTCTGTAACTATATGCAAAACATAGGTCTGCTGTAGTGAAGAGGTTAGCTTGAACCTGAGAGCTTTACCTGGACAAAAGTCTGTAAAAAGAGATTTCAAATCTTGTGCCTCTACCACAGCTCAAAAACCAGGGGAGAGGTGTTAAGCAGCACCATCAAGAGTGGTCAAGTGGGCGACCTGAACTTGGAAATGAAATGCAGCACAGACTTCAACAGCCAGCGATCCCTTTTGAGTGCAAAAGTACCTTTTGGGGAAAGGCCTTTTGAAAACATATTGAAAAGAAAAATAAACTATATTGATGACCCAGAGTACATATTAACTCCATGGTATATGGACCTGAATTTATTCTCAGAGCGTGAACCTTCTCAAAATGTCAGTGCCAGGGGTTGCTGAGTGGAAAAGAAAATAGGGATAGTCCCATCTGTCAGTGCAGAAGGATGCTGTGGTACCTGCCACAGCCATTTAATGGCACAGGGCATACAGTAATTTTAAGTGTGGAGCTGTGAAAAACATCACTTCCATAGGAAAAAAAAATAGAAAGCACAGTTTATGCATTTTATTACATTTTCAAATGGCACAGAAAAAAGTAATAGCACCCATTTTGCACATAGACATGGGTATAGATTTAGAATTCTTCCTTTGCTTTTTGATTTACACGTTTCCAGTAGGCTATAGGATCCACAGTATTTGTTTATGGGGTTTTCTGTTTTGTTTTGTTTTGTTTTGTTTTGCCCAGTTTCTTTAAAATACCTATAAATCTTAGCAAGGGAAGTGCAGGTATTCATATATTTCTTTACACTCTTTGAAAGCACTTACTGTACTACTTCCGAATAATAAGGACTTGTTGCAAAGACACTCTGACAATAAATAGAGAGTCTCAAGAAAATTATGTACTTACATTTATGCTTTGTGATCCCCAGACTTTTGGGGCCGGGTTGCAGCAGTCCCTTCAGGCAAGGAGAGCCTTGCAATGCTGGCTTTTGCCTTGAGGAAGATCAGGGGAGAGGTCTGAGGTTGGTTCTTGCAGCTCAGTAAGGAATGTTTACTGACGGAGTTGAGTGAAGCCATTATCTTTCTAAACCCAACACTGTGGCAAAATAAGTATTTCTGATTTTCACTGATTTCATTGTGTAAGTAGCACAGGGAAGGGGTGATGGAAGACACAAGTGGGAAAGGAGCTAATTAACTGCTGAAATAACAAGATCTGCTCTTCAGATGTTTTGGGCCCCAAAAAAGATTTAATTGACTTGTCAGCATCACCCAACAAAGAAATAGATCTTTCCTGGGATCCACAAAAATCCCACTGCACACTTGCTTTTATTCAACAGACTTTGGTTATAGCAGGAGCGTAAAAAAGCTAATTATGAAATCCAACAGAGTGAGGTGGGTGGGGTAGTTTTGTTCTTCCATGAATAGCAATCTCACGACAGTCAGAAGCTGAGATTCCTAAGCTGTGCAGGGCAGTGTCATCTGGTGGCCAGCACAGCTGTAGAGTTAATGTGCTGTTCTCTCGTGCTGGAGACTGAAGATCTCAGTCCAGGTAGGTCACACACCAGCAGTCGTAGCAGAGCTGTATCCTCTCTTCCAGTTGGGTTCATTTTGGTCACGATCACAACTGATATTCTATCATGCCCTCATGCATCATGCCTTGTTAAACTCGAATTGCTTTCTACACACCCATGTTCACACTTGAAAATGAGTTCAGCTGCGCCAACCAGGTTTTCAGGCAGATTTTTATCAGCTTCACAAAACCACCACTCCATGAGCAAAGGCAGAGTGTTGGGAAAATGGTTGGTATTGCAGTTGAAATGAAAAGTGCTGAGGGAGATCTGCAGAGGAGGGAGCTTGACTGAAAAACTGCAAGGTGAAAAACTGCTCCACTAAAGCAAGAGGGAGAATTTATACAGTTAAATCTTTGTGAAGGCTTCCAATCCTTAATGAGTTTTAATTCATGTTTCCACTTCCAAGATGTTAACTCCCTTTGCCACAAACAGTGTTTGTTTTCTCAGCACCCATCTGGATGTGCTTCCCTGCTAGACACAGAGGGTTGAATGAAAAATAGTCACTGTCTTAGGAAAACACTGACCCTGCCATGCCAGAGCCTTTGGGGACTCAGTTCAGTGCTCACAGCAGTGAGATAGAAACGTGGTCCAGTAAACTCCATTTGGCATCTCTTTTCAATTGCAAAAGAAGTGCACATCATGGGATCTCTGGATGAAGAGAGCTTGAAAAGTATCTTCCTTGGTATTTGTGCCAGCTTTTGAGCTTTGTTAAAGGGTTCAGGCAAATAATCTGCATTACCAGCAGATAGTTGATGGTAAAAGGACTAGCTCCAGGTTACACTGCTCAGCAGAGCAGTTTTGGCTTGGGCCAGGCTGTTTGTTTGCCTTTTTTTTTTTTTTTTACTTAGTAAAACCTATAAAGGTTTCATTTGACTTTTAGACCATGTCTATACTACAACACCAGCCTCACTGCTGGTACAGTAACAGTCTGCTGTCAGCTCACAGGCGAGTTGTAGGGGTTTAGTTTACCACGTGGTGCCAATAGCAAGGAGAAATCCTGTCCGGTGGCATCAAGAGAAAATGTAACACTTTGTGATGAGTGTGATATAAGTGCTAAGATAAAGGGAGAGAGGGAGAGAGATGGAACTAGTTGTTTCTATTGTAGTTTTCTAGCCAAGAGTTGACAGAACTTTAATAAAGTCGCACCCACTGCTGTCACTACTGATAATGGACCATCAGCATTTCAACTCCAAATTCCTATTGTCAGCTGTTTGAAACTTAGCTGTAAAATGAGACTAAAGTAATGATACAGAACTCCACTGGTGGAGCAGTGCGTTTTAAAGACACTGAGATTATTTTCTTTGCCTGAGTCATGTTGTTTCCCATTGTTATTCACTCCTACGCCTAAGAAATAACCATTGTTTTTTACCTGTAACTTGTTATATTTTGATCAGCTTCAAGAATAGGCAGCAACCAAAAGGCGTTGCTTCCTGAAGGCTTTGGGATAGTCTCTGTGAAATTAGTTGGCTGGCAGAGAGTAATTCCTAGCTGTGGAAGGTATTAAAAAATAGAAATACCCTGTTGGCTGTAGAGATAAAGAAACCCAGCAGCCATGGAGGCTGGCCCTTGCTTTAGCAGGGTTTGTGGGACTATCTAAAGAAGCTTGCCACTGCCTGTACGATATTCATTATTCAAAGAGAAGGATTCAGCCTGCAGGGTTGTTTAATCCAGCACTTTCTCTGAAGAGCTAAGTATGCTTTACAAAAATTCATGATTGTGATATCATGTGCTAAGCTTCATTATCATGAAAAAGCAGAAGTGAACTGCCTCAGATGATTAAGATTTTAAATCACTTATTGTAAACGGCTTAAGGAAACTTTCAGACCTCCTGACTCTCAGTGCTGTGTAATGTCTACATGACCACAGATGCCAACACAGACATCCATGCAGTGATAGCTGGAGTGTGCAAAAACAGCCAGAAATACCCAAGTTTGTTTTGTAGCTGTGCCACTGATGTGCTGTATTGACCATGGGTGAGTTGGTCTCTCATCACCTCTGTTATCCTGTCCCTTAAAATAAGGGTAACAATGCTTCTCTGCCTTTGTAAAATGCTTTTTTTTTAGATCAGGGGTTCAATATCTCTGTATCACTCTAGGAAGTATTACCATCCATAATGATGATAAAAAAAATCCTCTTATCCTTATCACAGGAGCACCACACAGAAATTTATTCTGCTGTATTGCTAAGTGCAGATTTATATATCAAGATACAAAAAAAGAAGTCAACTGGGTTAATAGCATGCACTGAAAAAACCTGCTAATAACATGTAGAGACAGTCGGATATACCACGAAAATTGTGAAAAAGCTCAAAATGCATTTTTCTACATCTAGGCTCCTAATTATATGATTTTTTAACAAAACATCACCAGGCACATGGGACAAGTGAGCATTTCTGCAGACATTGATTACAGGGATTGTTTTTTTTCACTCCTTCTTTGCTTTAAGAGCAGATTAGAAATGGACTAGAGAGTTACACCATGGTCAAGCAATTTAATTTCATGAAAATCCATTCATAACTTTCAGATTCAAGGGTTTTCTTGATGAATTAATGAAAGAAAATTAGTATTTGCATCACAGTTAATTGCAGGGAAGAGTAGGTGAGGTGATTTTATGTTGGGTTTTTTTCCCTCATGGATATTTACTGCTCCTTTCTCAGCTAAAGTACCATGAAGTGCCAGCTATGGGTACACCCTGGATTAGGGGTCACCTTCTGAATTGTGTATTAGTAAGTGGTGGGAAACAAGGACAGTGACAGTGCTGTATTTTTAATAGCTCTTCAGAAGCACGTCCATGCCTTATTTCTTTTGCTGTAATGTGGTAACATTTTCATTTTTTCCAATCATTATGGCACATTTAATTTAGTTCTCCCTTGCTGAAACTCTTTTGCAGCTGGGAAGGAAGAAACACATCCAAGTGACCAACGTCTCTGCTGGCCTTTGGCCAGTAACTACATCTCAGATTTCCATTACTGCAGCTTTGCAGCAATCCCTC